CGAAATACCGAGAAGTCTCTCTAAAAGGCGAGAGAGAGAGAGAGAGAGAGAGAGAGAGAGAGAGAGAGAGAGAGAGCGCCGACGCGCCGAGGCCCCGGGGCCCCGGCCAGGATTTCTCGAGGCTCCGAGGGCAGCGAAGCGAACCTCCCGGAAAAAAGAGAGCAAAGCTCGGAGCTCAGCTCGGAGCTTCTCAAAGCGCTGAAGCTGAGCTCGCGGCATGGTCATGCCGGTCTGCCAAGGCTGGTTCGGGCTTCGCTGGATGTTCGTGGAGAGCACCTGCCAGCAAACTTGGGACCTTCCCAGAGCATGAAAAAGCAGACGCTGCGGCCTGCTCCTGGCTCCAGTCACTTGAATACCTCAGAACCCGACAATGGCTGCTACAAGATGCCGAGAGAAGACACCCTCTGCCCGGATTCGAGGCACCGACTCCGATTGCTCGGAATACTCACCGAAAGCCGCGAATTTCGAATCCCACCTCAATCACCCAGGGTGTTGATGAGGATGGCAGTGCGAGCGGCAAAGGACGGCGAACCCAACTTCAGCCAGTGCCTCCAATTGCTGAGTTGTCGAAGTGAAACTGGCATTGAGATGCTCTCTGACCTAAGCTTCTCTGCAGGCTGGAAAAAGCCGCAATGGACGCTTCAGCCGCTGGACGATTTGGGGCCCCCCGCTGCTTGGAGCCCCAGTATGGCTTGGTGCCCCACATGGACCATGGGTCCGAGAGACCTTCAGACCCAGTTCCCCCGTAAAACTCCCAGCTTCCGCGAGCCAAGCCCAGGAGCCTTCCGAGTTGTCCCAGATTCCGCCCGAGCTGTCCTGGCCCAGAACGAAAGACAAGATCCTACTGCAAAGCAGCCGCACTAGGCCTTGGCCCAGGAAAACCCAGTGTTGGGTGCCGGATCCTCGGCTTGTTTCAGAAGCATTGCCGGTGTCTGCAACCCCCCACCCTCGCGACACCACAGGTCGCAATGGACGTGGCCTTTCTCCATTTTGCGTTGAATACGCGGCCCGACTAGTGCAAGGTGAAACCTTTCCCGGGCAGGGAGCCTAAAATCGATGTCGGAGTGCTTTGTTTAAAGCAACAAGAGGGTCCGACGAGGGTTTATCTCTCAGACAGTCTTTGCTCGGCTTGCTCGAACTTGCCGTTGATTTCGTCGAAGCTCAGTCTGCCACTGCCGTCCTTGTCCTGAGACTCACTGTGCTCCCACGCATGGCCTACAGACGGCGCAGCTCCGTGGGCCCAGCTCATGCAGCAGCCGAGCATCCAGTGAGTCGAAAAGCTTGTCTATCTGCTCCAGCGTTTCGCGAGCGACCTTCGGTACAGCAGGATACCGGTGTGCTTCCAAACGCATGAGCTTGCAACTCTAGTGTGGAAGCTGGACACAAGTTGGGCATTCGGATCCCGCCTTGCCCTCTCTGACCAGAACCCAATTATGGAACTCCAGGCGGTCGATCTTACCAGAACCGTCCTGCTGGGGCGGCTGTCTCCGCTGTACCAGTACATATATGGGGTTTCCGAAAATAGGGGACCCTAATATAGTACCCTAAATAGTAGGATCCTTTTATAAGGACCCAAAATAAGGTACCCTAAGTTTCGGAAAGTCCCATATCTGAGCGTGATTAGACATGCCTCCCCAGTACCGGGGAGCCGTCCTCGTCAATGATCTTGAACATATCTCGTGTTACCACGCACTTCTTGAAATACTCCTGGCGTTTTCCACGCAGGACTTTGGATACCGCTCCAACCTGGCTGCAAGGTTCAGGGGGCATGAAAGGCCCATGACTGGGAATTCTAGACTCTAAGTCTATTTGGGCGGTGTGTTCCAAGTCACAGTGGGGTCACTGCTGGGGGTGTACCAAAGCCTTGCACCCGAAACACGAACACCCTGCTTGTATTGCATGCCCTGCACTGACAGCCGACTCTCAAACAGCGCGCGACTTTGGTGGACTGGATCGTTTGAAGCCCGAGCCAACAGAGCAGACAGCAACTCGCTCCAAAAAGCGTATGGGATATGCTGCAAGTTGCCAAGTTGGCGAAGGCCAGCGTTCCCACCACCATCCAAACAGAGCCCAGGATTCGACCCAGGTAGGTTGATGGAGTGAAATCGCCAAAGCCAACCGTGGAGAATGTGATGACTGCCTCAGCTGCCACAGGGACTTGGGATCCTACTCTTTTGTACACGTAATCCGGCAGAGCCTGCACAAGTCCTTCTTGTTTTGCCCGTATAAGGCCAGGCACCATGTATGTCGCGTCTACGACGGTGAGTTTCTGGCCTCCGGTCGCTTCGCAATCATCTTCGACGCAGCCCGGCAGGCGCTGACCAGCAATGACGCAAGTGCAGCGTTCCTCAATGCATGGACAAAGAGAGCTACAAAGGCCTCAAGGCCCGACGCGGTTAGCGGTACAAGTGGCGTAGGAGGAGAAGAATGCGACCCAGATGAGCACAGAGACCGCATAGGTCACCGCAGCTATCGTCAGATCAAGCCATGCCTGATGCCTCGCAAGGCTTCGCAGGGGGCCACCACCACAGCACCAAAAAAACCAGCGCACCTCGGAGACGGATTTCTCAAAGGGTCTGGCGCTGACCCGCCAACCGCCGACTCAACGTTCTTCATCACGTCCTCAAGCTCGGTCTCTGCCTTGTCGAGCCTCAGATCTTGCAGCATCTTGCATTCGCCGTTGATGGGGGAGCCGTCAACTCCTTCAAAAACACAACCTAAGCAACGCGAAGCCGTTGAAGTTTTGCTCGGGCACACGGTGTCAAAGAAGTTGTTTATGGCATCTGCCACAAGCAGTATCCCCAGCAGCACGTAGAGCGTCATAAAAACTTTTCCTCCATGGTGGACTGTCACATCGCCGTAGCCTGCGATGCGGTTCTCCCAAACGAATCCCGCCAAGTACGTTCCTCCCGGGGCCCTGGCCAATGGTTGTCACAATTTGCGCTACGACATACAGAACAGTCGACGGTTCCCAGTCTTCCTGCGAAGAGAGCACCACGAAGCCGACAGCAAAGTACACCGCCACACAGAACCTGGGCCAGAAACCATTGGGCTGGTAGGCTCGAGGGACTAAGCATCTCAGCTTCAAAAGCCCTGACTTGCGTACATGTCACAAATTGAAGAGCTTTGGATACCGCAGCACGACAGGAAGTTTGGCTTTGAAGTCGTCTTTCGTCCTCGGAAGTAACAGCAACAACCACTCTTCTCCCGGAAGCCTGCGATTCAATCACCCGGCCTCTTTCGCACGCCCTTCTTCTTGCCTGCATCAGCAGAACGGGAATTTCAACGCCTGCCTTCTTGGATCGAGGGTGTGTAGAGAAGAGAAGGTAGGGGCACAACGTTGCGCAGCGACACAACGCGCGTCTTTTCGACTTGACGATTCACTGTGACGCAAAGCGTCTGTAGGTCTCGTCCCTTGTGAGAAGTGCGAAAGGTTTAGTCCGAGATCTCAAGACTTCGGCTCCTTCACGACGATACTGTCGTGTAGTTTGCAAACAAACTTAGTTCACTGGCTGCTTGAACCTTGTCGCGAATGTGGACGGAGTCCTCGCCAAAAGCTCAAAGCCATACCCTTTGATCTTATTCGGGGCGATAAAATGGCTTCTGGATTCTCATGGCTCGCGCTGAACCAGAACCTTCATCATGTTGCGCATTCTGCCCTCCCTATCCCAACAGCATCCACGGCCAAATCCCCAAAAGGCAAATACGCGCACCTGGCAGCAATGGCTGCTCCATCTGCGGTGAAACTTTGATCCTAAGCCCTCAGCCTTCAAACTTTCGGCATCTGAATCCCGAGCAGCAGAGCTGGGCATCTTTCAGAAGGGATACATAGATCAGTGCAAGCTCTGGCACTGGACTGAGAACCCGAGGACCCTGAACAGGATCATTTTGGCCTCCTACTCATGTTCCTACTTGCTGCCTGCTTAGCAAGGACGAGCCCTCGCATTGCAAGGCGAAAAGGATCAGTAAGTATCCGTAACCCCACATCACCGGAAACAGAGACCTGAAATCTGCACGGCCGAGGTCGAAGCGAAGTAGACAGCCATCCTGCAAGAGTGACAGCGTTCAAGCATCTTCCCTCGAAGTCCAGCCAAGTGAACGTAAGTCGCCATGAAATGCGATCGAACTCGAGTAGACTGGGATCAGGAATACGACCCACCTGGTCTTGAGAGCTCCCGGTGGTGCAGCCTGCGACCAGGTGGAGGCATCAGAGTACGAAACCCCTCTGGCTCCCCGCTTTCTCGCGCCTGCTGCAGGCTGCTTGTAGGCCCCTGTGGCCCACTTTGCCGGTTGTTCCAGCTACATACTGAGCCAAGATATCGGCGGCGCATTGCCTTAAGACGAAACTAACAGGCACGAGGGAAGGTTCTGCGAGCGAAGCCTTGGGTCGATCCTTTTCACACCCAGCTGCGTTGTGCTTGCTGCGAGGCTTTCCATCTGGATGAAACTCCCGATCAAGCCGGCTAGCAACCTCCGATATGTGCAACTCCCAATCTACGGAGGCGGTATCTGTCTGCGCAGTCTGCGCATCCAGGGAAAACCCGCTGGACTTGGCGAAGGCGTTCAGCCGAGCGACCATGTCCTCCACCAAGGACGGGACCTGAAGCGTTGCATCCAGGTCGAAGAAGGCTCGCGAGGAAGTAGCCTCTGCATAGGCCCTGAGATTCTTTGTCTCTTCGGGCGCCCGCTCCAGATAGGCTTGCACGCGCCCCGCGGCGTCTGTCTCCACCAAGCCCAGCCGGTCGTCTCCTTCCCGATCTTGCCGCGAGCTGAGACGTGACAACATCACATCTGAGGGACAGGAGAGGTGCGCCAGCACAGTGTACCGGGATCCCAGGGCAGCTTCGAAGTCTGGCAACTCGTGGTCCCTTAAGCCATCCACTATGATCCCCCAGAAGGCTCCAGAGGAGACAGCCCGGGCGACGACTTTGATCACAATTTCTGTGACACGCCCGAAAGCCTTCTTCCGTCTGCGCCTGTCTTTGAGCTGCTTGGCCACTGAATTCAAGAAAGGGGACTTGTCACAAAAAGTCAGCCGGCGAGCGAGATCCCCGCAGGAAATGCCAAGAAAGCCAGGAAAGCGCTGCCTCGGATATGTGAACTTGAGTGCGAGCGGGCCCACCTGTTACGAAAGTGTGCTGGTTCCGAGCCGCTGCAGGCTGCTCCCGAGAAGTGACTTGCCACTTCCAGGCCCTCCGAGGATTACCTCACACAGCAAGGAACTGCGAGTGGAATCATGTCGAATCGTGAACTCGGTCACACGAACGAAGTTAGGCCAAAGTGCGCAGCAAAGCACTGGAGCGGTCAGCAGATCCTGCTCGGAAGCAACTCTCCTCTTGATCCATACACGACCCACATTTTTCATGGCACGGGCCTCCTTTGTCTCGCAGTTCAGGGGTGAGCGCGAGCGCGAGCGCGCTTGCGAGAGCCGGTCCGCTGAGCTCATGCAAAGCACATTGGGCTCCATTTCAGTGCACCGGCTAGGCTGGGGCGTTTTGCTGCTGTGCTTACAGGGATCGTGTAATTTCGAAAGCTGCCGCTCCAGATCATGATAAAAGCTTCCGAACGGCTGAGCGCCCATGCATCCAATGCAATACAATACAAGACCGCACGATAGACTAGAATACAATACAGAACAGAACAGAACATAATGTCATATCATAAAGTACACTTGTGATAGAGTATACTGTAATCTAGCCTCAGGTCTCGCCTCTCCCCGCCGAAGCGAACCAAACTCGCTTGCTTAGAATCTGCCCTGGAAGCCTTTTTGCACCTAAGCGCAAAGCTGAATCACTGAAACACCTTAGCTCGAAACTCCCGGGCTCATTCAAGCTCCCTCCACGTTCCCTTCTTGTTCACATGTGCTTTGGCCTTTGATGTCACATCGTGGCTTGCTTCTTCTGCGGAAGCCCAGTAGCCTGACATCTACGGAGCTGCCGTGGCCTCAGGTGCGATGCCAAGGCGTCAGCTGCAGCAACCCAAACAGATACAAGACGACTAACTAGGCTCTCACAACTCGGACATGCCGCAAGACGACGAACTACGGTTCAGCGCTTGCTTCTAACTTTTCTCTCTTCCTACTTTCCTCCAAAAGCCCTATCCTTTTGCCCGCACTGCCACGCCGTGAGGCACTTTGGCGTCTGCTCCCGAGTGGGCGTCGCTCAAGCTTCTGGCCTGGCAGAATCAGGGTCGAGCGACTTGAGTTCCAGAAGGGGTTCGGTTCACCCAGACAAGCGGGGCAGCCAGGCGTTGTGGTCTCTGGCGGCCTGTGCGGCTAGAGATACATCCGACACGTGGCCTAAGTCTGGGAAGTGTCCGCAAGTGGCCTTGAACCAAAGGATGGAGCGCGCTGGAGCAAAGAAGCCTCGAGCAGAGCTTGGATCCCCCGAAGACGTATGAAATGACTATGTGATGTTATGAGGCGTGTAGCTGGTTTCTACGTAGCCAGTCTCAGCCTTACCAGTCGAAGAACAAAGCCTGGAGCAGTCTACAAGCAGACGTCTGAAGTTCTGCACTCAGTCCATCGCATCGAGGGTTGTCTCTGGCTCAGAATGTGCTGCCTGCTGCCTGCCATCAAAGCTATGGATGCCTACCTAAAGAGCTGCCATCGCTGTGTTGGTCGGACTTGAATCAAGTCTCATCCGAATCTCTCTCTGCCGGGCCGTCATCAGAATCAATACACTTAATGTTGACAACAGCAGGCTCTTGAATCTGCGCTGCTCATGGTGTGGCCGCAAGAGGTCGACAGTGGCTCCGTCGCTGCGCACTGCAAACACAAGCCACGGCCGCAGGCGCTGGATCTGCAGAAGCTGCAGCTCTTGAATCTGGCAGGCCTGCTGGGCGCCACCAACACTTTGCCGAGACTCTCTTCGCAGTCGCGACAGCTGGAATGGAGGCAGCGAGCAGAAGAGCCAATCCCAAGCACATGGCCTGCTGCTGAAGCTGCTGTAGATGTTGCTGCTGCAACTGGTTCACGTGCGATTCAAACTGCCCTTGCGTCCTCGGCTGTCGATCCACACGTTTAGCGAAGGTTGCCAAAAGCTCTGAGGCAGCCGGCTGCTTGAGTTCCTGCTGCACACCTCGGGAGCAGGCTGAAGGTCACCAAAATCTTTCATTTGGGTATGAGCTTGGGTGATGTGGGTCATGGGGGTCAAATGGTCATCCGCTCAAGCCACCTGACATCTCCTGCCGCAGGTTGTAGATGATCACCTCGGGAACATCAGTTCATGTTTCTCCCTCTTCGCTCTTTCTGGCACGCATGTAGGCTGATGTAAGGCTGAGTCGTCCTTCCTTGTAGTTTCGTCCTTCGACGTGCTGAGAGCTTCCTGGCCCAAGCCCGAAATTAAAGGCAATGGCATTGGGAGGCATCTTCTGGCCTCAAGTTGAGCACCTCTGCGCACTGCCCTCACCAGGAGTTCGCGCCTGAGAGCTTTGCAACACGAGTGTGGTAGGTCCGTGTTGCAGAATAAATCTTCAGTAGAGTGAGCGGCTGTCGCGCGAAGTGCTGCTGAACCTTCCCGACACAACAACAATCGTGCCGCCTCGCCTAACCTTCTCCCAACCCTCGGCCTCCGCAAGCTCTTCTCTCAGAGCAGAGAGAGCACCCGTGTCGACCTCGGACTGTGAAGAGTCCCAGAAGAAATTCTGCTCGCCTCCTGGGGCAAAATCTGAGGAGGCTGCAGGTGCTTGATCACTTCCTAGGCGGCAGCTTAGAATGAACAGGCCCTCGTCGGGGGGATCACCACCGCCCCCGCGTCTTCCATCGGCAGTTAACGATTAACCCAAGGACTAACCATAACCAAACCCTCCTAACTCGTATCCGATCAAAGCAAAACCTATCTTCAGGTATCTCACTGCACTCACCTTTCGACCAGCGACCGAAGTCTCATCAATTGAAAAGGGTCTGCACCAATCCGTGTGAAACGTGCCAGGCTAGGGCTAGGCTGTACAGGTATGTACATCAGTGACACATCGGAAAATCTGGATGCGGCAGGGCACAAGCTAATCTGGAGACAAGTTGAAAAGTGCATGCTGCTACTGTCTCATTTGGGACCCTGGCAACGGTCCTGAGCTCCAATTCGAGATGTACTGTATACTGTATGCAGCATATGACACACTGCATTTTACCATCTCTGTGTGTCTCAAGAATCAACATCAAGCAATATCACACACCACATGCTGTTATGGGAGCCTGTGCCTTAAGCCGAAAGCCATGGCCTCCAGGACGTTGCGCAGCTGGCTGTTTTCAAGCCGGATGACCTGTCAAATAAACACAGATGCCACAAGGACGCGTATCTTTCGAAAGAAAGGTACTTTCGTTTTGCTTGGGCTCGCTCGAAGCCTCCTGCACCACACTCATTTGGACAGCGCTCTCGTTCACGTTGAAGCTGCCTGAGAATCCAGGCAAGTGACCCGGGAGTTGACGAACTCAGCATTCTTGCATGAGTTGCTTCGACTACAGTGGTCTCGGCTGCATCAACCAACCGACATCGTTTAGCTCTGCGGAGGGGAAGCCGCATGCCTGTTCGTGTTCCTTAAAGGGGCCTGTTGACGAAAGGATCGCCTTGCAGGACTGCAGACTGTCTGTCGGTTGAACTTTCCAGCACTCCAGTACAGCATGCAAAATCTCCACCCACTGTCACCCTCCCAACTCTTGAAAGATACACATCTCGAAGAGAGGAACAAAAAGGAGTACTGCCTGCAAGTTTTCGGAGTGGAGAAACCGCTCCGGTAGATCGCAATCGCTGAGGCATACTATGCGGTAGTTACAGGCACCTCATACAAACGCATGCGAGTGCCCCAACCGGGCCAGGCATCCAATGCTAGGCCTTCTTCTGTGTTGTACCTCCTTCACGCTAGCGTGAGGCGAGTAGGTGACCCAAGTGCTGGAACTTGCGCAGTGCAGCCATGACAGGCAGTGCCGCATCGAAAGACCGAGGCTAAATTCGTGAGCATCTCAGCCTCTGTTAAGGACCCCACCCCGAAAAAGGTCGTTCAGATCTGCGCAGAGCGCCGTGAGGCCACAGAAAGATCCCACCAGCATCGTGAACACCAGCCGCAGACCTCGGTCGCTGCAGTATTAGTGTGGAGTGGAGCTGCTCAGGGAAGTGCTACAGAGTCTGAGTCTCTCAGTGCATCTCAGTGCTTTTTGGGCAGCTCCTTTCCCGGCTTCAGCCGAGGGTCGCATCGAATCCTCCGGGCGCTCTGCAAGGAAGCGCCCCTCGGACTGGTCCACCTGCCGCGAGGCGTAAAGCAGCCCCTGGGGCACATAACGACCTGACGAGACGAGCATGCTCCTGGAGAGTGAAGCAGAACGTTGGCCCCCATCTCAGCCCAAAGATGAAGCAGCGCACGAGGGATGTTCTGGTCGTGAGGCACCCTCTACTCTACTTCAACTCGTGCAACACTCATCTCAGGCATCCTGTGCGCTCAAGGGCTCACGCAATGGCAAGCGAGCTCTTTAAGACGTGTAACGGCGCCTCGATAAGGAAGCAAATTGAGATGGAGGAGGCCAGCAGGCTTAGGATCACCTCGGACGAGAATCTCGGAAAATAACAAGCGAGCCTTGCGGCAGTTCTGCAGCTGTGGCCCCGGCCCAGTGCAGGAACGGAAACCTGAGCTCCGTCGAGCAAATTGAGAGGAGTCGCCAGGCTTTTGTATTCTTCGCCGGGTTCCGGACGCCGTGTTGATGGAGGAGAGGCGCTCGGACCGGAAGTCGTTGAGCCTGGACACACTCATCGCCACGTTGTCACGGAGTGACATGGCCTCGGGGGCTGAATCTAAAGCAGTCTCCGCAGTTTCTGCAAGCACACAGAATAGCCCATGGACGAGGGTGCCACTGAGAAGGTTGGGGATGTCATGGCCACGGACAAGTAGTCGAGGATTCCAAGCATCTCTGTGTCAGGCCTCCGAAGGAAGCAAAGTCTAGTCACTAGTCACTCTAATCTTCTTCTGCCATAGGGGACCGACACGATTTGTCGTTTCAGCGCGCTTAGGTCCACTTCGGAAGTGGACTCGGAGTAGACTCTCGCCTGCGCACAAAAGCGCATGCATCCAGCCATTCATCCATCTGTGCATGCAGGCAGGCAGGCGGGCAGACAAACAGCCAGGCTGACATACATAGAAAAGTATGTATACATGCATGTATATATATATATACATACATACATACATATATATATACAGCGATATATATATATATATATNNTCCGCGGACACTGCATGGCAGGTGTCAAGAGTATCGGGAATCGAAAGCGATCTCACTACAAAGTAAGAAGCCTGCGATGTATGTATGTATGTATGTATGTATACACATACATACATACATACATACATACATACATACAAATACAAATACATATATGTACATATGCGCGTGTGTATGTACTTTCAGGCATGTATTTAAGTATGTAAGTACATAAGTATGCAAGTATGCAGGTATATATACATGTACATGGGGATGGCGCTTCTTGCGCAACTCCTAGGATGCGTGGTGAGATCTGCTTCGTTTCACTCTTTCTAATTGGTGCCCGATGGGCTGCAACCTCAGCGTGAAAACCGTGATGTATGTACCAGTAACAGTGTGTCAGTATGTGCGTATTTGGGGTTGCGTGCCGCATACAAGTTCAGCAGCTCCAGGCAGTGCAAGCACATAAAGGCTTCCCGCGCATTTCCACCAGGACCTCGGCACGAACTAAGATTCGCGGAGCCAAAGTCTACCAAGGGCACCGCATGTCGCAAATGCGATGGGCCGAGGGGGCACTGATTCAGTAGGCGCCTGATTCCTGTGTTGGCTTTTCTCTGTGGGGCGTTGAACCTCGCCCTGGTTTTCTCAAAACGCTGATTAACTCTGTTGCTTGCACTTGGTACTTCTTGATGAACGTAGAGTTAGAGCCTTTTCTCCGACTTGGGCGAATTGCTTGAGGATGCCACCGTCGCGCATAATCGGCGCTTCTGCTTGGCCTTCGGAACACGAGGCTTTTTTTCAAAGACAAAGACTTGCTAGCTGCGCTTCATCTGACAGATTGACCACATTGAGTCTCCCGACGGTAACTTGCCAGCAGCATGGCCTTCAAACCAGTTCCGGCACACACCGACATCCCAGCAACAGTCGCCATGAACTGGCCGTGCTGACTGGCCTGGAGAATCCGCATCTCGCAAGCCTGGGCATCCAGCATGCTGAGCAACAGCTCAGAACAAAAGCTGGTCTTTCGCACCTCCTTGTTCAGGTATTGCCTGCAGCCAGATCATTCTGCAGGCATCATGTTGTGAGCTTGCGCTTGGCAGCTCATGAGACATCGCACTTGCTTCTACACCCTTTCCCGACAGTTTGCACCGAGGTACCGGATCTCCTTTTGCCGTTGCCGCAGGGAGGAGATCGTGAGCGACGTGAGCGTGCCAAAAGCGATCGATAGCGATGCAATGACCTAGGGACGTGAAAGTGCATTTGCGATTTCCGGCCTGGTATGCACTCCTGTCTGTCACGGCCCTGAGTCACGAACGATGCCGTTGGTGGCCGGCGTCAGTGTGACCTGTGAATACTGCACAAAAGCGGCAACGCAATCTCATCGGTCCCATCGTAGGCCTGCATTAGCTCCAAGAGCTGTCGCTCATCACCCAACACTCGATGAGTCCTGAACTTGTCTCCGCTTCGAGCGGACCGAGCCGACGCGCCCAGCTTTGGAAACTTTGGAGCCGAGGCACAGCTGCAAAATATTGCTCCACTGCCAAAACCTAGCTCACCGCTGAGAAAAAAGAAGGCAAAGGCATGCAGCTGCTCTGGTCTGAGATGCAACCAAGCAACGCGACTGCTGGCCCAACAATCGGGAGGACATAGTTGATCACCTCGTCTCGTCTTGGGGGGAAGGAGTGGCAAATAGTGGCAGGTGCAGCTGAAAAACCGCCAGGCTGGTGTCCCGTAGGCGTTTGTTTGAATCCAAAGAAACTTTGTTCCACTGGTCCTCGGGGGGCCCCCGACCCAACAGCTCTCCACTTGAAACTCAGAGGGCGAATGCAGCCATGGTTTGTGGGGCGTCCTCCTCATCGGTGTCTATCAGTGCCAGCGAGCAGTAGTCCCCATCAGTGAGCTCCTCCAAGAGCCATGTTCACATCCTTCCTGCCCTTCAAAATCCAGCAAAGGTCCGAGCCCCCAAGGTGGCCCTGCCCCGTCCTCCTCCACATCAGCCACGGCCACGGCCTCCGAGAACCGAGATGAGCCCAGATAATTCCCAGGTATCCTAAGGGGGTTTTGGGGCTCGAGTCTCGACTTTAGGCACTTTAGGCCACAAGTTTCTCAAGACTGCTCTCGTTTTAACGGAAGAAACCATGCTGACAATGACACGGCGACCTGCTCACTTCCCTGCCGTCGTCGCACCGACCTCCGACGGGAGGGCTCGGGACCGATTCGATGAGCAGTCGTCGGAAGGAAAAGAAGGCCAATCACATCCAATAACTCAGCAGCAACGAGAGAGCCTCCGCAAAGATGCGGCGAGCACGAACGCCACTGGCGTGGCTCCTGTCGAAAAGGCAACGGAAGATGAACCCCCACTAGACGACACGCAGACGCCTGCGAGCCACTGGCACGATCGCTGAAGTCCCTGCTTCCAGGGAGTCCAGGGTGCACTGGCCCCGCTCACTTCGGAGCATGGGGGAAACCGCGAGAAGCTCGCACCTGATGACTCGTGGCATTAGTTAGCCAAATCTCAGGCCGCACAAACGTCACGAGTGGTCGATGCGGCCGAGCCGCAGCTTCCCTGGAGGTACATGTGGCCCCGCCGCGCATCGGCTTTGCACTAGCATGCCACCAGACCAGTGCACTTGTCTGATCTTTCGCAAATGGAAAAAAAACGCTCTTCCTCCGAGGTTGGAAATTTCCATGTATTAGATGCCAATCCTTGACGAAGTCATGGTAGCTAGGCATGATACAGTATTGATATGGAAGACGGCTGCATCATTGAATCAGCTCCGTTTCCGCTCGCTACCAAGCTTCCTAGGCTCTTTAAGTTTACATGCAAAACCTTCCAGGTGGCCGAACGGCGCGAACCTCAAGCAATGGGGGCCTGACCCCCTGTTGCTGCGATTGCCTGAGCGACGAGTCATGCATGCTTCAACACGCCTAACCCATCCTACGCCGCAATCCGTTTGGGTGCGAACGTTTTCCACATCAGCATGTCCTCCAGAGTTCACCTGCGTTGCAGTGCGATGCTGCGGTTGCAGTGCGATGCTCTTGCAGCTGCGTCGAAACATCTGAGGCATGCACTCTCTCCCGAGTTCGTCTGCCCCTGTCCTTGCATCAGAGATCGGGAAAGGACGTATGTTTTGAGAGTTATGCTGCATTCGGCACTCTGTTTGTCTGTCCTTCGCTGCTGCCTTTGGCCTGCAACATCATGCAACTAGCAGCAACAACCAGCTAGATTCTACTATGTTCCTTGCCTTCCGGCGGGCCGCGCTTCGGAGAGGGATCTATTGGCAGATCCTGGCCCAAGGCGACGTTCCGAGTCTCTGGTAAGGTAGGTCATTTCAACACGATTGCTTCCTGCGGCTGCCGTAGGGGTGCCGTTCATGTACGGCTTGCCGTCAGCCTTGCCAAGTGACGAGACGGATACCGCAGCATCGGGCAAAGAGTGAAGTAGATAATTACCTAGATGGAAGATGGTTTTAGGAACTCCGAGATCAGCACCTCTCCCAGTGCAGCAGCTGCTGATGCAGCTAGCCTCAGAGACGAGCTGCAACCTGCTCGCCAAAGCTGTGTGATGCTATGTGCCCCGAGAATCGCCCGAGAAGCAAGGACGCGAAAGCTGAGATCCCGGGCTGTGGAGGCACATCACCACGCGGGGACTGATCAAGAAAGCTTCCGAACACTCCGACATTCAATCGGAAGCTACCAGTTGCTTCAAAGCAGCCCGTGGTCTTCCGTGAGGGGACGGCCGCCTTCCCGCGGTGACAGCATCCGTTGGTCTACTCTGGGAGCTCCAAGTCCTTGCCTGTCTGTGGCAGCGGCATTGTGGGCAGATGATGGCTGTGGTGGACCCGGATTCCTTGGCAAACTGCGCTGGCCATGAGCCGTGAGCAGTGAGAAGACTGCAGCCGTTTTGTTGGAGGCATTCGAGGCGGCGACGGGTTCGGAGAGTGTGGGGCAGGCAGTGTGGCACTTCCCTGGGCAGTGCTACCGTACTCAGACTCCAAAAAGCTGAGGTAGCTTGTGCCGGGCCTGAGTACTGTCTCTGCGGGTGCCGTGCAGCTCGACCCGATCGTCACTTGACCAGCACGCAACCCGGCGGATGGTTCCTTGGCCCGAAACCCGCAGAGAGGCCGCCCTGGCCAGACAGTGAGCCTCGCACGTCGGGCTGCGGTCACGAGCGCACGCGCACGGTCGACCTGGCACTGTGCTTGAAGCGGCCCGGTCTCCCGTAGGTCTGACACGGTGTTGATGCAGGCAACAGGTGAGACGTGTTAAAGCCCATCCTATGCGGAACTGTACTGATACTTATCACTTACGGACAGAGTCATGTGCCTTTTAGACCTGTACATACGCAATGGCATCGGAGATGTAGCAATTGAACGAAGTACAAGAGCCAGACGATGCGAGCCTTGTGGCTGTTGCTCCTACTTGACCCACTTCTATGCTCCAACACTCGTTGTCTTAAGCTTCCGGTGGCCTCGCCCTTGAGCGGAACCCGGCCACCAGTGCTGTCCATGAGCTGCAGGACCTGGGCCAGCCTGGACAATGCTTGCGCCCCTGATTTTTGTCGGGTCGGTTGGGAACATGTATTGTTCTGAACGTCTGGGGATGGGACTGAGATGAACATGCTTGAGCCTTGCGTCGCTCCACTACGGCACGACATCCCACGCAAGGTGCACCAACAGCTGTATGCAATTGCTACTGTAACCAGGTGCATATGCGGTCGGAGCACATCTTTGCTGGCATCCATGATCTGCTGCTCGAGCTGCTTTACCTCTGACAGCAAACTTGCCCCACGAGCAGTCCCCACTACGATCCTGCCTGCGTCGCCAACAGGAAATTTTCACCTGTGGTTCGATTTGCTGAGCTGCTGAACCGTTCAGCTGAACCTCACTTTTTCATGTTGGGCAGCTTCGCCTTGCTGTCGCCGGATTACAGCCTGCCGTTCCATCAACTCCTGGCATACAAAAAACCGTGAGGGATCCTGAGCGACACTCGAGAGCCAAACCGCTCCTGGTGTAAGCCCTCCTCCGTGTCGTTGGACTGGCCTCGGGTCAGTCGGGAGCATGTCGCTTTTTGCTTGCGACGAGCAGAAACGGGCCCGGCCATCCCCAGGAGGCTGCCTTGGGCACTGCTTCGGGCGTGAGCTATTCTTGAGCTTAGGACTTCCACAAGCAGAGTTTCAGTAAATTGGATCAAGCTGCATGTCCTTGCCGCGTGCGGTCCAAGCCTAGAGCTCCAAGTTTGCCCGGAGTGTCGCTTGCATTGCTAGAAGTAAGTGCTAGCAGCTGTGTGCAGTGAGACATCGGCCTCGTCTGGAGCATGGCTCATTACCTCAGAACAATGCAGGTGTGTTCCAGGTGTGGAAGAGTTCCTCCAAAGGCGCAGCAGACCAAGGACTTGCTGCCGGTCCAAAGTTCAACCATCCAAAGCGGTCGCACCCTGAAGCCAACAACTCGGCCGGAACCTTGACTCACAACCAAACGCCAAACCCGACACCAGGAAGCACCCGCTAGCAACAGTGTAAGGCGAACTTGACATGTGCTTCAAGGCTTTCTTTACAAGTGCCCCTGACTTGCCGATCCAGGGTGCGCCAGCAATGTGCTGTCCCTGGAGTCTGCCATCCAATCCGAAATCAGCGGGAGAGGACTGTGCTCGGCGCACGCCAGGTCTTTCTTCGCTTTGGCCGGCGTTGGCTGCTGGACTGTGTAATGCTCTACGGAGCTCATGCTCATCTTCAGCGCGGGTTGTGTGAGAATCATTGGCACTGTTTCTGGCCTTGGCTGAAGCTGCGTGTTGCTTTGTCTAAGGTCAGTCTAAGCGCTTGTGAGCCAAACAGCAGACATGTTCAGATGATATGGCTCCATGAAACGAGGCCAAGTGGCTACAAAAGCGCAAAGTCGGCAAAAGAAGAATCACGCAGCACTGCTTGTGCCAACCTGCTGTGGCCACGAAGCGTCCGCACGCCCGGCAGTCAGTGCGCACGGATGGAAGCTGTGATATGCGTACAGTGCAATCATTGGCTCTATGCCTCCTGGGCTCTTCCGGCATGCCCGACTACCGCTCATATGCAGTGATGGAAGATGATGGAAGTCTTTATACTCACCCGATGGCCCGATGGAGAGCACTGAGCATGCACATGAGCAGACATGAATTCAACTGCTTGCAGGGCGTTGGCAATGTTGGCTCACCGAGACACCCTCGGAGCCCAGAAACCGCCGGAGGGATTCGAAGGAGTCTCGGAAAGGAACGCATCTTACCTCGAAGCTTCTCGGTTTTCGAGCTGGCGCCCATCATGACGGCAGCTTCTGAGGATCCGGCTGTAAACTCACCTCGTGGGGAGATGGAGGGGATGCAGGGCCCTCTGGAGCCTCAGCAAGCAAGCATGGCACATCGCAGCGTGTAGATGGGATGTTTGAGAAGGGAACCTCCAGGACCGGTGGCTTTAGCTGCGCATGCCTCCGCCGTGCCAAACTTTCATATAAGACGAACAGGGCCACGAGACCAAGGCTCCCGCAACATTGCTTCAAGTTGGCGGTACTGCTGCGCCTGTGTACGTACTCAGACAAGAAACGGCAAGCCAGGACTACACAGAGGCGGGGCAGATGGCACCTGCTGCAGCTGCTGTGCATGATGCTGCTGCCTCAGGGGCACGATGTAGCGTCAGATTTCAAAGCTCTCTCCAATGCACTTGAGCTGACGATGTCGCTCAGCCGTGGTTGCTGAGACATGCGCTGCAGCAGTTGCACCTGGCTTTCGAAAAGCTGGTTCTGATTCTGGATCTCCTCCGCACGAGGGAGACAAAGGCCCTCCCGCGCAAGTTCGCGGTATTCGCAGATCTGATGGCCGATATCAGTCTGTCCTGCTGAGTGTGGAGCTGCTCGTTCTTGAGGTTACAAATCTCCGTCTTCAGGTTGAAGATAATGACGTCCTTTCCTCGTCGAGAATCAGGGACAGCACATGTGATGCAGCCTGCGTCTGGGATTTACTGCAGCTTTTCGGAATGTGTGTTTGCATATGTTTTGCGGCCTTCTAGGGTGAGAGACACAAGTGAACACTACAGAGGAAAGCAAAAGCCGGGCTTCAGTTGCCGGTCGAGCCGACTGCCGACCACTGGGACTGAGCTGCGAGCTTGTCAAGTCATCCTTCATTGTGAGCGCCTTCTCCTTCCAGACATAGCATGACAGATCAATGCTCCCCAAATGCTGCAGTTGTGCCGGTAGGCCTCTGCTTGTGCACCTTTCCGAATAGCTGCCACCAAAAGCTCTCGCCTTTGGTGCCACCCCACATGATAACAGCACCAAGCATTCAAGAATCTCCGAACTTCCGATCGAGCGCGGTGCTGCTGCAGGAACCTGTAGCCGAAAACGCGACCATGGCCCAAAACATTATGCTCATGGGCAGCAAAGCGAGGGCAGCACTTCGTCTGGAGCTCGGCAAGGTGGGACGAACTCACGCCCTCTGCCTTAGGTTTAGGTTCCGAGCACTTTCTAAACGGTGATACAGCCAGTTGTCGAGCCGTTTGGGGAAGGCTCTCGAGGGCCTCTGAGTATCGCAATGCTTGACATGCTGCGGATTTGGACACATGCTTATCACGCACGCCCTCTGCCGATCACCACTTCCCTGGCATGAAGGCCTTGTCGCAGCACCCAATCCAGTACCACCGTGCTCGCCCTTGCGTTCCATGCCGATGCCCTTCTCTGCGCTGCAGGCTGCAGGTTGAAGGTGTTGTTTTGGTAGTGGTAGTAGTGGTATAGTGGCAGTAGTGGTAGTAGTAGAGGTGGCAGTGTGCTGCAGATATTGCAATAACTACTCAGCAACTGTCAGTGTGTAGGTTTGGGGAGGCCGCGAAACTGAACTCATTTCTGAGATGGCGACGGCAGAAGATTTCTCTTCGACGTCTGCGGAAGAAGTCGAACTTGGAGGCCTTCGTGCCAGGCCAAGATTGGCCGACTCAAATTAAATTAAAGGCTTAAAGGGGTCATAACCGTGTTAATAAAAAACGTGATGACTAAATGCCGTGAACATTGCAAGAACCATCAACATCATCGCACTAGGAATGGGAATCGGAAAAACAACAATCAAACCTTGCCACCTTGCCAGCATTCATGATGTTTCGCATGGGCTTGGGACCGCAGAGTTGTATAACAAAGACAAGGAGAAGCAGAAGAAGAAGAAGTCAAAGACTTTAATGCTGATGGTGATTGTAATGATGCGGCAGTGTTAGTGGTTATGGTAGCGGTAGCAGGTCGTAGCAACAGTACAAGTAGCAGAAGAGGTGGCGGCAGCAGCAGCAGTACTAAGTTGACAAAGCAATCAGTACATTGCCGCCTTCCGCCATAAGCAAAAAAAACAAGCGAGCAAGCAAGCGACAAGACAAAAGAGCGCGAATTTGGAGCTGCTCCTGCTGCAGCTCCTGCTAGTACTAGCACTTCTACTGCTTGTAGCACCGGTACGCTGATTCAATCAAGCCCACAGGCCCCAGAAGTGTGAGGATGCAGGCCGGGGTCGTAAGAGTTGCTGCTGTTGCGGCAGTTTGTTGATGCTCTGTTGCTACTACTTCTGAAAGTCACTACCGCCACAGTTACCAGTACGCCGTGGAGTAGCCGCGTAGAGCAGGCTGTACTGACAAAAAGCGAGGTGCAGAAGCGGAACACACCCCGTAATGATCCCACCAACCCGACCATTCTAAGGCACAGGATTCAACCCCGAGCTTAGGCCTTGATGATCTTCAATCGTGTCAGAAGTTTGGGGTTTTTTGAAACCCCTCCACAGAGATTGTGCTAAGTCGTGGACGTGACGGCGTCCTTGGTACCTGGGCAGAGGCACGGAAACTTACACTGAAGTCTTCTGACAGCTTTGCTGCGTCCCGGGGGATAGAACTGTAAATCGAAAGACACCATCCGCAGCAAACATGACACCCACAGTCGCGGCAGTGCCTCTAACCCTGGCTGCAGCCTTCATTTTATGGGCTGCTGAAGCAGTTCCAGGGAGTTCGGGGCATGGCGACTGAAGCTGATTCGCATCCTACTACTGTGGGGTGCCCTTAGCTGTGGCACGGGCCTGTCTTCGCGGGCTTCAAGTCCGGGCTAGGCGGCGATGGCACCGCCACATTGGCCTGCCCCGGTGACACCCGGCGTCAGCGGCTGCTCACAGGCAGAATGCATGGGCCGGCGAGGACAATCTCTGGTTTTCGAATGGTCCCGGTGCTTCAGGCCACAAATCCACAATCGCCGTCCTCTAGCTTGCCAAGCAACCCACTGACCTCCTCAGAGAGGCTGCCAGTGCCACCGGTTCCAGCCGAACCAACCTCGATTTCCGGCATGCAGCTTCAAGGTCCCTGCATGCAGGCAGCCATCGTCCCTGATCTGAACACACTGGGTGCGAAGACGCGGGCACGCCCTGGGGAAGTGCGAGTCTCCTGCGCTCTCTGCACTCCAAGGTCTGATAGCACTCTCATTAACATAAACATCTGACTCAAAGTGTAACATACCCCGGATGATGCTCCTCACTCGGAAGCTCACATACAATCCCATGACATATCCCTCGGCCTTCGATCGCACACTCAGCTGGCCCGACCTAAACCGCCCCGGCCAATCCTGCTGCGCCTTGGCCATGTTCCCAGCCTGCGGCCTGCCACCATGAACTCACGCCTTTGCAAAAAAGACCATCCATCGGGGCCGCACCTGTTCGTCGCAGCCTTCACCTTCGGGCTCTTGGCCTGAAAAGCAAGAAGTCGCACCAGCACATGGCTCGAGCCAACAACTCTCTCAGAGGCCGGTCCTGGCTGCTGCCCGTCTCGCCGTAGAGCCCATGGAAGCCCTCACAAGCACTCACCAGGCTCTTCAAGAGGGTCTTCTTCCGAGTCTTTCCGGCATGGCCTTTGCAGGCCGATGTGCCGAGGTTGCCGAGCTTGCCGAGGTCCGAGGGCGAGCGAATGACGGCGAAGCCGTTTTTTCAAGGCGCCCCGATCCTCCCTTTTCCTTTGTAGGGGACCCTGTCGTGCCTGGAACGTGCCAGGATGCAACCGGCAAGCACAGGATGAATCACGAAGCATGCCAAGGCCTTCTTGCATGTTGAGCACCTTTCGCACGGAACGACCTGAGAAGCCATCCAAGCCAAGTGGCTTGGATGAATCTTGCATTGGAGGCAGCACTCAAGCGTGCTCAACTGAACTACTCAGGATGCTAGCTGCTAGTTGAGCTGAAGCCCATGAACCACCGCTCCCTACAGATCTCAAAGCACAGGTACCACACATCTGGGGCAAAAGCGAGCAGCGGCGAGGATGGCACGAACTTGCTCTGCCTTTGCACCATCTGCTGGTGTGCTTGAGGCTACTTTGTGCAGTAGTCATTGCTGGAGGCACTCCTGTTGCACGGATTCGTCCGAGTTTGCATGAAGGCAGGATGCACTTTACATGGACGGCATTGAGAAGACACCTGCGATCAGTGTAGGCCTTGCCTAACGTTCTCACGCGCCTCAGGGTCGTGTTGTACCAAGATTTGCTGGCCGCCGAGGTCGCCGCATCGGCACGAAGTGACATTCGATTGCTGACGATGCACTCCAGCACCTTGCAAGCTTGGCTTCCGTGGAAATTTACATACATATATGTACACATATATATATATATATGTACATATATATATATATACAGCGAGAGAGAGAGAGAGAGAGAGAGAGAGAGAGAGAGAGAGAGAGACACATATCTATATCTATATATATCTATCTATCTATCTATCTATTTATCTATCTATCTATCTATATATTTGATTTATGGTTGCGCCCCGGCGGCCCCCCCCCCATGGCTCAGGTTTTATACAATCTACAAGTATACACTGATCATGATGTATTCCGGCCCCCCTGTGGAACGGGACAGCCCGCTTCCACGCTCAGCACAAGTAATCATACTAAGTATTGTCTATAACCGTCTTAAAGCAATACTAATCATTCGAGATATTGCTTAGAACCCCTCTGAGCACGACTACTCATACTAAGTATTGCCTCTAACCCTCTTACACTTCTCCTGATCATATTACGAAGTAACATAATCATTGTAAATACTGCCTATACCCCTCTTAAGGTCGTACCAATCACACGAAACCTTACTTCGAGCCCCTCCGAACCCGAATAAGCACAAGTAGCGCTTGTACGACTAATCAGAGAAAGCCTTGAGTTGAACCCCGCTGTCCCAGGCCTTCGAGCGCGCATTAGAACAAAGCCTTTGTTAATCCTGGAAAACCCAGATAAACCCTATTGAAGTAAGCCCTCATAGAACCCTATATTAACTCTCCAAAAACCCCTTGTAGAAACCTTGTACTCGCCCTCATACACCCTGTACGGACCTTCTCTTACGGGGGTTCCTGTGGGCCCAGTGGCCCAGTGCTCGTCTTGTTGCAATTAAGGCTCCAGGCCCTTGTAAGTGAGACCCATACCATTTGGTTGGAGGGGTGGGGGGGAGGGGCCCAGAACGCACAGCGCACAACCATATATATATATATATCTGTGTGTGTTTTTATGTATAAAATGCATATGTACAGTTGTATACTGGCAATCCCCGCAACACCCACAAAGCCCCATCACCCCCCAAGCCCTTAACCTCCTGAGCCTGGGTTTGCTTTGTGTTAAGGATCCCTTTGGGTTCCTTATTAAGGGCATAGTAGAAATACCCCAAAGCCCTGTTTTAGTTACTAGGGCCCCAACATTAACTAAGCCCTTGGGTGGCGAGGCGCCTTGCCAAGCGCGTGCTGCTCTTGGATGGGCGCATCCTGCTGGCCGAGGAGGGCTGTTTTTCTTTCTTTCTATTTTTTGTTGGGGGGGGGGGCTGGCTGCTTCTGAGGTAGGTATGTGTATGTATGTACGTCGTATGTAAGTAGCACGCCGTAGGATTCTTGGATTGTAGCACATTGCCAGCCCCTAGTCTAAGTAGTCAGGCGTCTGTATTCGAGCACCAATCTGTGCGATGTGGCAGATCTATTGGGCTTGTGTTTGGAGATTGAATCAGATATTAAGTAATCGGGTCGTGTCGTGCTGTGCGTTCAGAGGCTGAGAAGTGACTTGCGGGAAGCACAGGGAGTTTTGAGGAGGCGGTTTCAGGTGGGGCTTCGCTTCTCCGTGTCTTGGTGGAGATCTATATCCAGAGAGGGGTGACCAAAAAGGTAACCCAGCCCTCACGCTTTTTGTTCTGTGTTTGGGATTCGAGTGCGGGGAGGGTGTGTGTGCACTAGCTGACTTTGGGTTTGGTACTTCTTCATGTTTGTTTCGACATCCGTGGTTCTGAAGAACGTTTCGAGGTTGCCTCTGGGGACTCGGACGCCTTGAATGCGTCCGAACCCCAGCACCCGAAACCCCTGAAATAATTTGACCACACAGACCCTAAACCCGAAACCCTAAACCCTAAACCGGCCAGAAGGCAACCACCATGAAAAGTGTCGGGACCGTTAAAAGAAGTCTCAGTCCTGTTTTAAAAAAAAGCATCCTGCGGACGAGTGGGCGTCTGGTGTACCTGGCTTGGCTTGGCTTGCTCGAAGCTGAGTATAGCATACTGTGTGTGTGTGTGTATATATATATATATGGATGGTTAGTAGTAGTTTATGGTATAGTCCGAGAGAGAGACAGAGAGAGAGAGAGAGAGAGAGAGAGAATATGTATAGAGTAGTCTGGTCTAGTGGAGCATATGAGAGTTATCTCTGTGTCGAAACGGTGGGCTCTCTCTTTGCAGGAGGTGCTAGGGGACCTCGATGCGGCCGGCACAGGCAGCTTGCTGCTGCAGCCCCTCTGTGTGAGAAGACATTTTAACCCCAAGCCCTAAACCCTAAACCCTAAATCCTAAACCCTAAACCCTAAACCTTCGAGGGCTTAGGGTTGAGGTAGTTCAGGGCTACAGCCCCCGCAAATGCCTGACTTTACATGGTTTCGTGGTCCTAGGCCCTTTAGGGCCTTGGCACGGTTTCTGGCTACTTGCGGATTTCGGACGGTCTTGATAGGGTTTAGGGTTTCGGAATTTAGGGTTTAGGGTTTAGGATTTAGGGTTTAGGGTTTAGGATTTAGGGTGTAGGGTTTCGGATTTAGGGTTTAGGGCTTCGGATTTAGGGTTTAGGGTTCAGGACGAAAAGGGCCTATCTACTTGGGCATATACATCGTCCGGAGGATCTCTGTGCCTTCTTCTGAAGGTCCCCGAGCCAGAAGAGTATAGCCGACGGTCGGGTTGAGGGTTGAACCAGTGCATTCATGATCGCGTGCTGGTTGCTATCGAGGTTTTGGGGGTTGGGGGTTAAGGTTTATGGTTTGGGGTTATGGTCTAAGCTGCAGGGTTTTGGGTCTTAGTCGTGAAGCTTCTCACTGGAGCGTCCCTGGAGGATGCTTCTGTGTTTTTGCGCTTTGAAATCCTTGAAATGGCAGAAAGTACAAGACCGAAGCCGAAACCCTCAGCCCGCAGGGTGCTACCGTATTCCCAATGCCATTCTTTCCCCGGTGGCTAAGGAACTTACCCTCCGTAATCCAGGTCTATAGATAGATAGCTGGGAAGATGGGGAGATAGATCGAAAGAGGGGGTGGGTAGATATGTACCTGTAAATGTATGCATAACGTGAACTGTCGGATTCCCAGATCATGGTCATGGTGACTTAAGCTAAATTTCTTCACAGGAACCCGTATAAACCCCGTATGAACCTTCTTTTGACCCGGGGCCGGGAAAGGTTCAGAAAGACGGACCGTGCGGTAAAGCCTAACCCTAAACCCTAAGCCCCAAACCCTAAATCTTAAACCCCAAACCCTATCCCTAAACCCTAAACCCTATGCCCCAAACCCTAAATCTTAAACCCTAAAACCGAAACCCGAAAGGAACACTCCGACGATAGCCTTGTCATCCCGCACCCACCTCTGGGGCCTCACGGAAGTGAGGCACCCCAAAACCCCTACGACCTGAACCCGAAACTGCATGCCAGGTTGATCTAAGCATTTTTGGGAAGCCTGGCTGACGCCAAAAAGCCCCTTGCTTTGCTTAGCCCCAAACCCTAAACCCCAAACTCCCTCAGCGGTGGATGCAAGGTTGATCTGGCAAAACCGGCAGGTTCTCCGCAGGGACCCGTCCTTCGAGGAGGACGTCTGCGAGCAGTTCCGGTGTGGGGCTTTGTGCTGCTTGTGGGGGCGTTGAAGGGGTTTCCTGTAGAACGGGGTGGTTCATGGAGGGGGTCCAGAAGATTGTCTACGCCGTCATTACCAAGACCTGAACAGTGCACCTTGAAGACCAAAACCTCCCCTAAGGTTTCAGCGGCCCCTCACCCCGAAGCTAAACCCCTGAACCCCAACACTGCGCCCTTCAACTTCCTGGCGGTAAGCCCGGAATCCGGCTACCAGTCTTTAAGTCGGGTTTTGAAACAAAGGTTGGGAAAGGCAGAAGCAGCCTTTCAGTATTAGGAATTCGGCTGGATAAGGGTCGACAGGGTGTCTTACGGGCTTTAGAAGTGTTTTGTCGGGTTGCTAGGGTTCGGTAGCTGCTGTGCAAAAGGGTTTAGGGTTTAGGGTTTCGGGCCCTTACTTTTTACAGAATCCTAAACCCTAAACCCTAAACCTTAATCCTAACAGCCAAGCAGGATGGCCCGAGGCCTTTGATCCTCCACCTGGCCATTTGTGGGGCTCGCTGCGCCACATGCCAGAAATCGAGGGGGTACGCTGGACCCAAAGAACCCAGGGTTTGAAGACCGATAAGACCTTATAAGTATGATGAAATCACAACATATAAAGGAGCCCTGAAAGTAGGTTATTGTTTGGGGTTCAGGAGGGGCTTTGTTGTGTGGCCTTACGGGTTTAAGGTACGGACCCAGGGTTCAGCTTTCTGCGTTTATGGCTGGTCATGGCTGGTCTTGACCTTGAGATTTTCAGGGGGGGCTTGGCAACTTGGCGATTGCGTTGTCTACCCGAAACCCTAAGCCCTAAGCCCTAAACACTAAGCCCTGTACCTGTTTTCAGGGCAGCCGGCGATCCTGGGGGTGTGGTACGTGATTGCTTGTTCAGGGGCGGCTCCTGATTGAGATCGGTTGTGGACCAGCCTGTCAAACGCCCTGGCCCTGCTTGGAGGTTCATGGGTAGTTCTAAGTGGGGCCTTTAGTACTTTAATACGGGTTGTAACTGTAGTAAGTCTATCTC